ATCCAAGCATGGCGGCCATCTCGGTGCACAAGGTCAGGTGCTGTTTTCTGAGGTTGGTGGGGCTCAATGGATCTAGCTGCCTTTTGGGGAAAGACCCCAGTGAGTGATGGGCCCTGAAGGAGGGTCAGATCTCAGCCTGGGCTCTTCGGGGGGCCCCTTTTTGTGATTCGGAGGAACAAGTAGAGATGGAGGAGGTTGTGGTTGTTGCTTTTGCAACACCTTAATTTTTTATTTTTTTTTCATGGGTAAGTTCGGTTTGCCTCATTCCTGTCCTAGTTTGGGGGGAAGGAACTGAAAAAAAAAAAAAAGTAAGTTTGTACTAAAATCTGAGCTGTGCACCTCACTTCAAACGTTCCATTCACATGTTCTTCTCAGCCATATTCCCCAGTTGTGTTTTGGTGTCTCCGTTTCAGGAGGGCAGGCATTTTTGAGAAGACACTTCCCTGCCACACTCTGTTGAAAACTCAATTGACAAATTGCGTTACAGTACAACATTCAGAAAAAGTCAAAAGTTTTTACTTGGAGCGTTGGCTTGAAAACATAGAATGAAAGAAGGCCATACTGATCCGACAGACTAAACAAACTTTTCCACCTTCCCTCTTTCCAAGCCACGCATTTTTTGGGTGGGGGTCACACACCCAGGTTACCACAGCGGTGTTTGCATGTGCATGTGCTCTGCACAGCTATAATTATGCCGCATGTACACGAAACAGTCGCTATAAACACTGCCATGAGAAAACACACACCTACACAATCTTTCAACGTAAACACAACCAGAGAGCAATTTTAATGAAAGGTGGCATTTTTCCAAGGGTAGGCACCATGTTTCTCTACTTTCCAGTTGCTGTAGGGGCACGCTTGAGATAGTGGGGAGTAATGCCCCCCCCCCCCGTGCTTAGTCCTTCTGACCCAGGGCTCCATACAAAACTGAAATGAGTCTCTAGATGAGGCATGTGCCTAAGGGCACCTGTTCACCAAGACCAGTTCTTCTTCCCCTTCTCCACTTCTCTCCATTGTATCTTCTCAAAGGTTTGAGAGACCCTTTCCCTACATTCTTGATATTGAGAACAACCTTAGATGGGGTGAAGTCCTCCTGACATCGGGCGCCAATTTTAAGACCAGGAGCAACACATTATATCAAGTCCCAATTGACCAAAGAAAGTGAAGAACCTGCTGTAGATGTTCCCACGACCTCTTCTTTTCCACTGTTGCTCTTTGCCAATGAAGGACCTATGGAGGCCTTCTCCTCCACCACTCATTCCTAAGAGGAATGAGGCAAGGGGGTCTAACATCAGGTGGTTCAAAGGAGAGTGATTGGTCCTTGCTGGTCATTCTGAGTGGAAGGCTCCCTCCTCGTGGCCTTCAAAAGACCCAGCCACGAGAGTGCTTTGCACTTGAGCACTGAGCATCTGACTGCAGAAGTGTGCTCACCTCGCCTGCTCCTACGCACAAGGACCTGGCACACTCACCTGATTTCATTCTTGCAAACTTAAAAGTACAGCAGCCATGGGACAACCGGGATTATACCCCTCTGCCTTGTTATTTAAGGGCTGGCTTTATGGCTCAAAAAATTAATCTTAAAGTATACCTTACACCTGAAGATTAGCTCTCTTAAATGCCCGCTTAGCTGATGTGCATCCAAAATTGATTGGAATTCCATTCTTTTAACCTCAGGATTTTGCAAACGCCGTACACGCATTCCACCCCCAACAGACCAGAGGCTCCTCCACGCAGGGAGCCCACTTCTAATTAAACAAGTCATGAATTTCTCTGCGTGGACCCCCTCCTGCCCCCCCCCAAAAAAAGCCCTCCAAAAAAAAAATAACAACCCCATTGTGGGAGCATTAAGAGGCAGCGGCCCTCCTCCGGCCCTTTCTGCCTCGGCTTATCTGGTGAGGGGGAGGAGGAGGAGGAGGAGGGGGCCGCACAGCTTGGGAGGAGAAGAAAGTCCAAGGTGTAGCTACTGCTTTTGTCAACAACGTGGCTGGAATTTAACGTGGCTGTTTTCGAGCATCAGGGCGCCTCCCCCCTCCCGCCCGGATAGGAAGGGAAGAAAACATAATCATCTTTCATGATGACAAACTTGGCTCAGCGCTGCCTTTACATACTGTACCCTCAGAGCGGGCCGGCTGCCAGACAGCGCTTGGCATGAGGCCACGGCCACAGCAACAAACAGAAGCCGCGTGTGCGCCAAGACGGGGGGGGGGAGGACAGGGGCAAGAAGGGGAAGGCAGCCGAGAGGCAAACACACTTTACACACACACACACACACACACACACACACACCCCGCCTGTCCCGGGCTGCCCTCCGACAAGGGAAAGGGTGGCTGGGAAGTTGCCAGCCCTCCTCACCATCACCACCACCCCATTTCCTCCCCACACGTCCAGTGGGCCCAAGGAAGGGACACCTGCTGATATCGACCCAAATTCTGTACCTGCACAATTCCCCAGAACCTGCATGGACCCCAAAGGGAGGTTTCTGGGGGGCCTCGTCTGAGGTTGGCATAGCTCCCCCAGGGGCAAAAGGAAAGAAAGGGGTTGTTGTTTTTTTGAGGGATTTGGAGGGTCCATGGAAGTTTCCTGAAATGAGACCCCCCAAGAGAAAACAGGTCTCCCCAATTTTTTCTGGCAGGGCTGATTTATTATTTTTATTTATTTATTTATTTTGTCAAGCGATTGTAAGATAACAGGTATAAGTATAAACATAGTTATGAATACATGAAATGGATACATATAAGAAAAATAAAAAGAAACAATAGGACAGGGACGGTAGGCACGTTGGTGCGCTTATGCACGTCCCCTACAGACCTCTTAGGAAAGGGGTGAGGTCAATAGTAGACAGTCTGAGGTTAAAGTTTTTGGGGTTGGTCTCTCCAAGACCAGCCCCAAATTTAAAGGGGCCCAGATAGCACTGCCCAACTGATGGCCGTTCCATGCCCTGGCAAAATTTACTCTCCCAACAATAGAAGAAATGGAGGAAGAGGCGGGGAGGGGGCTGTCTGCCCACTATATGATTTGCCCCTCCTCCAAATTCAAATCAAAACCTCTCTTGGGTAAAATGTGAGCTCTTCCCTAATGATTGCGAAGCTTTATGGCAATGCTTCCCCCAGAGCATTCTTCTCTCTACTTACAGAATTCTTAAACTGTCCCCGAATTTGGATGGAAACAGAAGGCCACAATTCCCATCCTTCTTCCCTCCTATCCGGACTTTTGCACATCTTAGGAACGAGGAGTATAAAGACTCACAACCGGGAGGTTTCCTTGGGAGGGACAAGGAAATGTTGCAGCACAGCCTCCCTGTTGAAAACCCTCCATTCCATCCATCGCCTCTCTACTCCCATCAGCCTGCCTCACCCCAGGGTGGAATTCATCTGCATGCCAATTTTGATTGAGTAGCACCCAAAAAGTTTCCAAGTTCCATCAATGATGAAGACGGTAATGGTGATCTCGAGGTTTTATCCAGGTTCTTGGGCATTAAGAACGCTATTGTGGCACCCCAAGAACCGAGTTTTCTGTTAGTATGGGTGCCGGTCAGTCCTGGAGGAGATTAACCCTGACTGCTCTTTAGGAGGCCAGATCCTGAAGATGAAACTCCAAGACTTTGGGCATCTCATGAGAAGGAAGGAAGGACTCCCTGGAGAAGGAAAGCCTAATGCTGGAAACGATGGAGGGCAAAAGGAGAAGAAGAAGGGGGCGGCAGAGAAGGAGGGGGCTGGATGGAGTCACTGAAGCAGTCGGTGTGAGCTTAAATGCACTCTGGGGGATGGTAGAGGACAGGAAGGCCTGGAGGAACACTGTCCATGGGTCACGATGGCTCGGATACAACTTCACAACAACAATCAATGGGTGACCACTGACACTCTGTTCAGAGAGGCCCATACGAGAGAGCTGGGAACTAAATTAGCTTCTGGAGAGGCCAGTATCGTGCCCAGCTTAGCATTCTAGTTCCTCCGTGGTACATTTAATTAAAGGGCCTGCATCATTTCAACCTAATAGGGAAATTCATTAAACAAGTGCCCCGTTCTTTTGCTAATGAAACTTGGGTGGATGCTCGAATTTGGAGAAGATGAGATTCACAACGTATGCCTGAAAATGCGAAATACATCGGTGCCGGAGAAACAGCGGTGGGTGGAGGAGAAGGAGGGCCCGTCCAGGTTGGGAGCTGATGGCCCAGGCAACCAATCTCCCCTGGTTGCCATTCAGAGCTACCCCCCCTTGTTACAGCTGGGGAGCCCAGGACAACCTTTGCGAAGGAGAAGGTCCCACTCGGGGCCTCTCTAACCCTCCAGACAGGAAGGACACCTGGTCAACCCTCCCAGAAAGAGCTCGGTTTTTGTTCCTCTGCGGGGCAGAAATCAAGAGCTCCTGATTTGAATGCCTGGGTGAACGGCCAGCCTGCAACCCTAGTTCCCTTTCGTGAGAAATCGCTGAACCACCAATGGCCACAAATGACATCTCCCTCCCCATCGTCAAATCCCCCCTCAACACGGCCAGGGATGGTATAGGAAAGACTTCAATCCATTTCATGGTTGGCTTTAGTCTCTTCAAAACAGGAACAAGAGCCCCTTGCCTGGAGGGGCTTCTTCCCCATGAGAGTCACTCCCAGGTGGTCTTCACCCCAGGAAAGGATCTTTTAAGGGGAGGGAAAAGATCCAGGACGAAGGAGAGCTTTCTGGGGAAAGGGCAAACGGAGAAGGCCAGAGACAGAGGGAGATAAGCCCCTTCTTGTACACTACTATCCAAACAAGGCATCCAACCATTTAACACCACACCTCCTAAGCACACCTGTTGGGAACATTCCTGCCCTTCTAGGGGACCTGGTTGAATGGTTTTACAACCAAGAATTTTGGCAAAATTGTAACTCCAGGACAAGACCAAAGTTTCCATGGTGGGTAAAGATGGGAGAAACTCTCCCGTACACACAGACACAACACACACACACACACACAAACACACACACACACACACACACACACACACACACATATATCTAAACTTACCTGAATGAGCCAGTAAGTGCATCCGAAGGCGGAGGCTGTCCAGGAACCTTTTTCCACACAATTCACACCCATAGGTCTTCATTGCACTGTGCAGTTTCCTGGGGGGAGGGGAAACGAAAAGAGGAGATAAAGCCTCGGTCCACAGCTTATGGGGCCTAAGTGGGGAGGGGGGAAAACAGCCGCCCTTCTTGAAAACGTCCATCTGCATTAGGGAGCCTTCCCCAGATTCTGTCGATGCAGAGATTCTCACCAGCTCAGAAACACCCCATTCCCCCAAACAATTGCCTTTTGATGCTGCAAGAACCATCATTAAACAAGGGGCACCATTCCTACGCGGGAGAGTAAACGCTTACACGGGAGAGTAAACTCTTACATGGAATTCTCACATGGAAGGAGAAGCCATGACATTAATTTTACAAGGACAGCTCATATTTTTTTTAATCGACTTGACATCTCGGCAAAGAGCCTGAATGCCGAAGCACAAGCACAAACACACACACCTTACTTGTGATGGGTGTGCATTCAATGGGTGGAGTTACACTCTATTCCCTGCTTGTCTCCACACTGCACTTCTGGCTGCCTTGCTCCATCTGGGACAGAACTTTTTCACATTTCCAGGGTGGAAATGACTGGTGAAAAGCAACCACCGTCTACGTACACACGAAATGCAAACAACATGGTCGGAAGGGGCCGAAAGGCACCAAAATGAGTGTGGGAGAATTTGGCTTCCCTGCTTCCCGCGTGGGCTGTGATCTCCCCCAGGCAGGAGCAGAAGGACTCCTCCAAGAAGCCCTGATGGTCTCATGGAGACCCCTCAATCTCTTCTATAAGGAGGCAACCTGCTTTTGGGGAGCTCCAATCCCACTAGTCAGGTCCCCCAAAATATTGAGTACGCTCAACTCTTCGCCAAGGACAGCAGAGTCAGCCAACCAAGAGCGGCAACGGCAACTTTATCACCCCCAATCATCACCATCCCACTAAAAGCGGAGGGTTTGGGGCACAGGAACCACACAAACACACACTTTTTGGTAGGTCATATGGAGGAGCATCTCCAGCCTCCTGAGGTGAGGCCTCTTCAACTATGGTCTGGGCACTGGCCATGCCTTTAATTGGGACGAGGATCCAGGCAATGTATGAAAAGGCAAGCAAGATTGTTCAACGGTTTAAAGAAAACTACCAATGTTCCCACTTCTTAAAGCCACCTTGCTACATTCTCAACCTTTCTAAAGCAAGGTTTTTCCACACACACCCCTGAGATTTATCTAGCTAAAGGTCTAAACCGGCAGCACAATCAGATATGTTGGCACTTCTGAATTTTGTCAAAAGCAAACTTTTCGAGAGCAGTTTTGAGGTTCTTCTTCTAGTGGAACATTTGAGAAATGTTGAAGCAAACAGCTTTGGGTTTTGTTTTTGTTTAAAGGAACAACTTTACTCAAGACAAGTGCCTACTTACACAGGCTCTTCGTTTGGTTGTAAATAAGGTGCTACTTTTGGCATATTTTGGAACTATTCTGAGATACACAATTCAAGCTAGAAGCAGGGAGAGGTTGGCGAAAGAGGGGAGGGAACACATTTCTATATCAGTTTTATTTATTTCTTGTTTTGGCTTTCCAGCCTTGTTCACAGTCCAGTTGTGGGCAAAGCAATGGTGGGTACTAGAGGTGTGACTATGTGTAAGTAAGACCAGCAGCTGCTGGTGGCATTTGCTGAAAAAAACAATTCTTCAAATGCACAGTTTCAAGAAAGGGGGGGGGGGGGGGGAGAAACCCACTAATTATAACCTTAGAAATTACACAGGGACAGTTGCTGCTATTTGCTATCTAAATGGCCGTTCAATTCATTTCTAGCTGAAAAGGAAAGAAGAAACAAAACTCACTGAGGTATTTTGTCCAGGACAGAAAAGGAAGAACACAAAACCTTTTAAAACTTCCTTTAATAAAAGGAAGACGATGTGCAATGCGCCAAAACCAACTCCGGGGGACTTAAATGTCAGCAACACCCCCCTCCCCCAAAAAGAACAATTCTCTATATCCCCAAGCCCTGGATGAACAGTAGAAAAATAACACAACAAACTGGTTTTATTTTTGTACTGTGTAAGCAGGTACAAAATGGTTCATTCGGCTAGTTGGACTAATGAAGCACATGCAACCAACATAAAAACAAGAGGCTCTTCTTGGATTGTTTCATAAGGTTTCAGATGATGACATTTTTTTTATCAGGATTCCAATTCGGCACAAATATTTATGAGGACCATGTGCATTTCAGAGAAGAGCTCAAGATGACACAAGTCTGGGCCAGCTACAGTGGAAGAAGAAGCTTCTTTGAAATAAACAACACATGGAGCAGGGAGCCTGCCAAAAGCCACCACAAATCCAGATTTTCTGAAGAAGCTGGGAGGGCTGACTTGTTAGACAAGACGCTTCTGAATCCAGGAGCCTTTTCTCGCCAGCCTTGCATCCTGCCAGGGCCTACTCAGAGCAACCTTGAAGCCTGGCGGAATTAAGGGCAAAAGGATGCTTTCCCAAAGAATCTGCGTGATTTCTCTCCGTGTCATTATCCTTAAGATGCTCCTGGTAACAGGTCAGATGCAATTCTAAAGTTGGCTGGACCTTGGCAAAACTTTGCAAAGCTAAACGTGAAGGAAACGAGGAGAGAGAAAAAAAGGGGGGGGAGCATCTATTGGGATTAGGCAGTTGAAACGAGCAAAGAAAGACACCAAACAAGAATGCCAAGGGAACAGGTTTAATGTAAGGGCGTTTAACTTTGGCAACTTTTAAGACTTGTGGACTTCAACTCCCAGAATTCCCCAGCCAGCCATGCTGGTTCTTCTTCCACTGGTTTAATGCATGGGAATCTTAAAACGGCTTGCTAGCTGGAACAAGGTGGAGGGGGGAGGGGGGAGAGAATGAAAATTACTATAGCAGGAAAAAAAAATGAATCACTGAAAAATATCACACCCTGCTGGTTCACAGAATACAGGAGGCTCCGGTGTGGTTTTTGTGATCTTGGCTTAACATGTTATTCAATTGAGCCGTTGCGGCATGTAACCTATGATTCAGGGCTTAGAATGCCCTGTGGGTTTTAGGCCTAAAACGTGGAGGAACAAACAAACATTTTAGGACAATGTGAGAGCCCAGGCATTAAATACTATCTCATGAATCAATCTGTCTACCTTTCTCACAGACAGAACCAAGTCACACTCTTTTTGCAAACGGCGTTAAGCGAGGAATACAGAAAGTGCTGCAGAATGCAATGCAATACCGTATCATCGTCGTATATCATCTCTTCTGTGACAGGAATTCTCAATGTTGGCTCCTTTTAAGAGGCGTGGACTTCAACTTCCAGAGTCCCCAGCTGGGGAACTCTGGGAACTGAAATCCACACATCTTCAAGTGACCAAAGTTGAGAAACCCTGTTCTGTGAGATAGAGGTAGGAATGTCGTATTAATTTAATAGATGGGTGCTGTCTCAGAGAAAATTAGATTGATCAGATGGATTTGTCATTGGCTTCCAACCTGCCTCCTGAATTCAAGCAATTGAGGTCAGGCACGGCCGTCTTCACGTGTCCTTGGTCCTTCCTATCCTTTCCCAGTCCATTCCTCCTGTGCGGGATGATCTTCAACCACCCCTATTAATTCAATACAGGCTTCTCTAAACTGGTGTCTTCGAGACCAAGAGGGAAACTGAGGAGCAGAAACCCAACCCTTCCAATGGAGGACCGCTTGGAGGAAGGAGCCTGGATCATAACTTAGGAAAACACAGATTTGTGTATAAGAAGGTCAAGGAGTTTGCGCTGCCGTTTCCAACGATGGTGTGATGGAGAATTTCAAAGATACCCAAACATCTGCACGCTTTCTAAGGGTCATCATGCCATTTCAGAGCCAGTTCCGGGAGCTTGGCTCTGGATGAACAGGTACAAAAGGATATTATGATATGATACACAGGGAGTTCTCAACTTACAACCATTTGTTGAGCACTGAAAAAAAAAAAAAAAAGTACCACCACTCTTCACACTTACGACCCCTGAAGCATTCCCAGGGTCACAGGGTCAAAATTTGGTTGCTTAGCAACTGGCATGTATTTATGATGGTTGTAGCATCACATCTGCCATCTTCCCAGGCATCTTTTGACAAGCAAAGTCAGCCGGGAAAGCTGGATTCGCTCAACGGCCGACACTGCAGGGCTTCGCTTATCTACCATGGGGGAAAAAAAAAACATTGCAAAATTGGCCATGGCTACTTTTAAGCCCTATATCAGCACAAATCCTTTGGCTTTTTTAAAAAATAATTTTGCAAAGATACACAAGAGCATCTGAGTTTTTTTTAAAAAAAAACCCACCCCAAAAATGTCTCTTTCTCTACTACTACCACCCCTGCTGCGCCCACTCACCCACCTCCTCCGACAAAGTTTTCACCAAGTGTCAGAAATGACAAAGGGACAAATTAATCTTGCTCTGGCCAACTGCTCACCTAGAGATCTATGCCAGCTTTGCTATTGGTTGCATAAAGCAGGGCCCTTTGTTTTAAAGAAATAAATAAAGAACCCGCCAGCCTTTCGGCAAGTAATTTATTTGAAATATCTCTATCAACAAATTTCAACAGGAACAAAAGTTTTCCATTTGGCACCTGCTTAGAGGATGATGTTATCGCGCCGTTTCATAGAGTCTCCTTTCAACAAGGTCTTAAAGCGCGTTATCTCTGGTTTCCGGGTAGCAAAATATGATTGAAATGTTCTATTTATGCTCACTGGATTAAGGCAATGTTGCAGAAAAGGAGGAGAAACCACAGCAGATGTAAGCAAGGTATTATAGCCTCTTGTGCTGTTAAGATCAGAAAGGGAGAGATCAATAGACAAGCCAGCTATTTCTGCTAAAGTTGTGCTTTTAGGAAGAAAGAAGAATAAAATAAAACAATTCCATAGATATCGATTCTCAATTATAACTCCAAAAGGGCAGGGCACAGAAAAACAAACTGTACTTTAATAATTCAGCACTCGGCTGATCTCACTTCCAGATCTCATGCGCATTCTTAAAAAACGAGTTCCGTGCAAGCAAATTAAGACCTGCAGAGATGATGCCCAGGGATTAGACTGACTTTC